GGCCGGGAGGATGCGAGGCTGGCCTGGGCCCGCTCCGCGGTGCGCGCCGCAGCTGCCGCCGCTCTCCCGGGCCCGTCTTGAGCTGGAGAGGCGGCGGCGGCGGCTGTGGCAGCGACGCGCTCTCCTGGCTGCGTTTTGTAATGGTCCCCGAGACGCCGGAGACCCCCGCAGCTCGCGCTTCGAGACTATCACATGACCGAGGCTGAGGGACTCCGCCGCCGCCGCCGCCGCGTCTCTCGCTGAAGAAGGGGCACGAAGGCGCCGCGCCTCGCCCCCTCCCCCTCCTCCACCACAGTTGGGGCGCCCCCACCCCCAGCATTCACAGCCCGCCGGGAGGGGCGGGGAGCGCAGGCTGTTCCCGGGGCGGGGGGGGGCGGGAGCCGCGCCGGGTGCGGTCCCTGCTGCTGCACCCCACCCGGGTCGCGACGCCTGGCAGAGGGGGGACAGGACACGGCTTTCTTTCTCCTCTCCTGTATCTCCCGCCTGTCCCCGCCCCTTCACTTTCCCGCTTCCCACCTACCTGCTCTGAACTTCTCGCTCCTTACACTACCTTTTTCCTAGGCTAGCCACTCTGGGCCAAGTTCGGGGCACCGTGGCCTCGAGGCCTCTTCTCTGCAAGAAATCCCAATGCCCAGAGGGTTGGAGGGAAAAGCTAATGAGGAGAGGAGCCAAGGGCATTCTCGTCAAATGCCAGCTTCATCACGATTTTCTTGCGCACCAACTGTGTGTCAGGCCCGGTGATCGGCGCCAGGTATAGGGCGGCAGGAGACGGCTCTTTGCGTTCTGGGACAGCTGTCTGGAGGAAGAGACAGACAGTAGCCAGGGCATTAGGATAGATAGCAAGGGCTTGGTGGGTTGAGGCTCCACCGCGCTTCTTAGGAGCGGGTGGATGGGACAGAGTGAGGCATTCCTCTGGGGTAGTGATGCCTGAGCTGGGGCCAGAAATTGGGAGCTCACAGGTCCCATCACCTGGGTGAGTCCTAACGGGGTCTTTGCTATTCTTAGCACGTTGAGGGGAAGCGAGCTGATTGCAATTAAATAGGAGGTCCAAATGATCAACCCACAGGGCCCTCGTATGACCTGTGAGAGAAAGCTGGTTGAGAGGCAGCCAGGAGGTCTCGGTGCTGGCTGGGACCCAGGAAGCAGCATCCGGACACCCCTGGGCAATCCCAGTTGACTGCGGGGAAGTTATACTCTGGTTTTGGCTGCCTTTGCCGTTTGGCTGGGAGGAAAAGCAGAGTTTAGGGGGGAAATATACCGTCTTCCCGTCTCTGGGCCTCAGTTTCATTATTTATAAAATGAGATGTCTGAAGTTGGAAATTTCACGGGTGCCTTCCAGTTCCACCATTTGAGCAGAAAAGAGCAATTAGGGACTGTGTCTCACTGGATTTTTAATTTCTTCTTTTCCCTGCCTAAAGCCGAAGGCAGAAGGCTGTTGCCCCCAAACTGCTTGGGAGACTTCTTTTTACCCTCCAGCCTTGGCGACACCAGGTCGCTTCTGACTTTTGGTGAGCTGCCCGAGGGCAGGACCATGAGAGGGGCTGTCTGCCTGTCCGGCCCTTCCTCTTCATGGGAGTTAGGTGAGTGGGGCAGATTGGTAATTTTCATCTTTAGTCAGGAGCTAGATTTCTGGCCAGTGCTATTTGCCCAATTTGTACCAGGCCAGCAGACGTTTTAGAACAGGTGTTAAGGTGAAGAGTGCAAGAGAGCCCCCCAGGGAAAAGAGCAGTCTCTCGGCCTGTCCTAAGGAGAGAAGATAATCTCAGAGGAGGATGCATTCGCTGTCACTCCGTGCTGGGAACTTTTCTTCCACCAACGGAGTTTCTGCGGAATTTTTAGTCCACTGAGTCAGTTTAAGGAGCCAAGCAGCAGTCGGCCCCCTGGGCTCACGAAGCCACGGAGGAATTCCACAGTTAAAGCGGCAGCTAAAGCCCGGGTGTCCCCTTCTCCCTTGCCCGACGTGGTGCGAGAACAGCCCTCTCCAGGCCCAGGAGTCGCCCAAAGGCCGCCGTTGGGAGCTCAGCGTGCCGGTGCTCTAAGTGCTCTAAGACTCTGGCCCTGAACGCAGCACGGGCAAAGGCGTCTTTTGTCGACGCCTTGTGAGTATGTTTTCCGCAGCGCCTCCTCTTTGGGAGCAGCTCCGGGACGTTCCCGTCGGGCCAGGGGACTCCGCGGCGTCTGGGGACAGAGCGAGGGGAGGGGCCCTTCAAGGGCGCGCCGGGCAAGCCTTAGGTGCACCTAACCTGAACAGTAAAGCCGTGGGCGAGCTCGTCGCAGACCGCAGACCCGGGCCACGGCGTCGGGCTCGGCCCTGGGGACGCGAGCCTCCGGCTTCGGCGAGCCAACTGCGTTCAGCTGGTTGAGCGGCTCCGCGCCACCTGGACCAAAGCGGAGGCGCCAAGGTGGAGAGAAGCGCCTCGAGCCTCAAGCTTTCGCGCTGCGGGTGGCCCGGGCAAGGGTAGACAGGGCTCTCCGACACCGAGGCCCCAGCTGCCCGCGGCAGCCCAGGCTGCAGTTGCAGCGCCGAGCGCTGACAAGGAGCGCGGGACGTGTGTCCATTTTAGAGAGGGGCTGGCTGCCGCCGCCGCCGAGTATTCTAGGGGATTCTCGGTGAGGCGCAGGGCCCGGCTGGCGAGCTTGGGCCGTGGTGGTGGTGGTGGTGGTGGGGCGCTCTCCCTCTCTCCCCCCTCCTTCCGGCGAGGTTGATTTCATTCCCGCAAGTTTTGCAGGCGCGCAGCAGCAGCAGCAGCGGCGGGGGCGGTACGCGCGCGCTCCAGCTGCCTGCAGACCCCCGTTCAAGGAAAACAGATCATGTAACCATCCTGGCACCAACCAGTCGGTTTCAAGTTTCTGCGAGTATTTTTTTTTTTTTTTAAACAACCCCTACACTATCCAAATATTGGCTGGCGCTGAGGACCCTGGCAGGCAAATCATTGCCCCGGGCTTAGTGTAATTATCTCAGGCGTATTTGGTTTACCCCTTAGGCAATTGTTGGCGAAGCTTTCCTAGGAAGAGGGACTCCGTGCAAGGTTTTATTGCGTTTAATTGGCTCTATGGAGGGGAGTAAAAATTTGCCAGAAAAAGATGTGGAACTTTAGGAGCGACTATTTATTCATTCTCTCTCCTCTATCTCCCCCCATCCCCCCAAGCCCCGGAAGGTCCCTCGCACTCCTCAGCCTGGATCTAGGCCAAGCGGTCCCAAGGCTTCCGCGGACAGCTGTGCCCAGCGTGAGGAGGAGCGCAGGTCGTCAACGGGGCTAGGACGACGTGCAGAACTAGGAAGAAGGTAAAAGTTCTTGTGCACATCTCGGTTTTCATGGATTCTGTCTTTATCCACTGACCTTTGACGTGGGGAAAGTTGCCTGGGTTAGTTACCTTTGGGATTCTCCCAAGCATCTTTACTGTCACCCCATCCGGC